AGATTGGTTTTTTTGAGATAGGGTAGATTCTACTTTCTTTCCATTGCTTAGGAATTGTTTGGGAGGTAAGACATCTGCTAAGTAGAGCTGTTACTGCCAAGAGAAGGCTAAGGTCTGCATGTTTAAGCATTTCATAGCTTATACCAGAGCGCCCACAGGCTTTGTTATTAGAAAGTTGGTTTAAGGTTGTAAGTACCTCTTCGTGAGTTAAGTCAGCTAGTGCTTCTGAGTACCAATCTTGCTGGATATGTGGTTTGGGGTCATATTCTGAGTGCTAGTCAGAGTCAAAGATAGTTTGGTTAACTGGGCAAAAAGCAGTCCAGTTGTTAAAGTGTTGTTGGATATGTGATTTGATAGTTGTAGAGTCTGTAATAATGTCTTGTGCTAGTTTAATGTTATTGAACTTTACTGGGTCTTTGTGTCGGTTTAGTATACTATTGAGCATAGAGGTTGGGCTAGTTTGGAGTTTGGTGCATCTTTTTGCAATTGCATTAGTAATTTGTTGACGTGTTTGTCTGATGTTTTCTAGATTGCGCATGTGGTATAGCTTCTTCCATTCAGAGTTGGCCTTGGCTATCCAGTCAGTGCTTGGTGTCTATAAGGGTATTTCTAGATTGTGTAGGCTGTTGAGCTCTGTAATTGCTGTATCAAGATGGGTAGAAGTTTGTTGGCCAGATCTAATTAAGTGTTTAGCTATTCTTATTGTATTGCTGAGTTTTTTAAGGCTGTAGTAGAGCTAAGTAGCCTTAGGTGAAAATATGTGGTGGAAGTTTCAGACTGCAAATCTTTTGTTGGGGATGTGCTTAAGTGTTGCAGTAATCAGACTAGTTTGAATTTTGTGCTAGGTAGTTTCGAGTGATTCTGTGTTTACTGGTGTGAAGGGTGTGTTGTGTTGCTATAGGTTGGAGGTGACTTGTTCTGCAAAGTTTTTCTATTTTTCTTGGTCCATTACTTTGTAGTTGAAGATTCTTCTTCAAGTATGAATTTTGTGTCTTCATTGTTCGACTGGTGCATGGGGAAAAAGCCAATGGGAGATAAGAATTTTGTGATCGCTTTGGGTACTAGTATTGGGATCATCTGTGTTATAGTCTGTAAGGTACTGTAGAATAGGCTGATATGCCCAGATGAAATCAATTTCGCTACTAAGGTTGGCTCTGTGCCATGTGTATGTTGACTTGTTGGAATGTGATGCTAGATCATACATGTTATTGTAAGCCAAATATTGAAGGAGCTTGTATTTAATTGATTGGAAGTGGATATTTTCTGTGGAGGCATTAAAGTCTCCTAGGGCTATTGGCAGAATGTTTTGGGCTTTGGCTTGCTGCAACCACTGGATTATAGTGTTTTGGGTTTGTAGACGGAGTTGTGCATCATTGCTGGGAAGGTAAAGGAAAATAATGCGGAATTTAAAGTCATGTTTGAAGAACAGGTCGATTGCTATTGCGTATCCTGGTACTGTAGTGATATTATGAATATGTAGGGTAAGAGTGTTGCAGATCATAATAGCTGTTCCAGCTTTGGAACTGTCTGTACATGACCAGAGGTAGGTGAAGTGTTTGGTTTTGTGTTGTTTGCATGGGGTAGATTTGCTAGAGAGTTTAGTTTCAGTTATACTAACAATGTCTAAGTTTTCTTGTAGACAGTAGTGTTCCCAAGCTTCTTTCTTTGTACTTGTGTTAAAGCCTTGTACGTTGTGTATGCAAATAGAGAGTGTTAGTGGGTGAGGCGGTGTGTTTTGGGCAGTATTGGGATAAAGAGTGTTTGAGTTTCATGAGTTGTTTGGTCTACTCATAAGAGTGCTCGTTTGTATCCATTGGTGTTGGGTTATCTAGTGGAAGGGTGATATCGCTATGAGGTAGGTGTATGTCATTTGTTTCTGTGAAGGTAGATTTAGTGGTTTCGGCTAAAGGGAGAGTTGGGGTGTTTGTAGAAGAGACTAGCTCTGTAGTTTCTGTCTCTGGGGCCAATGCGAAGCTTTAGGCTGTACTGGGAGTTGGTGGTAAATCTTGCATATAGATGTTATTAAAAATGTTCCATTTTGGTATAGAAAGGGGGTGAGAGTTGTAGTAGGGTTTCTGGAATAGTTGGAATCTTGTAGAATTGTCTGAGAGTTTTTATAGTTGGGGCTATGTCTTGCTGTTTCTGGATTGGAAGTGAGACTATAACCTCTTACTTAGATAGTGTTTCAATGAACTCTTCTATATCTTTGGAGATAATAGGTAGGGCCTTTGTGTTCACGTTGGCGTCTGTATTTTCTGTATTTGGGGTGTTGTCATTGTTTAGTTGAATCCAGTCTGTGGGGAGTTGCGAGAAGTAGTAGTATT